GTAGCTATAGGACTGAGTCTGGGTTTAAGCGCAGCTCTGCCTGCTGCCAAGGCCCATGCTCTGCATCCCTACTCTGAACTCTTTTATGTGCTGAAGAGAATTCAGGCCTCCACCTCCCTCACTGCCCATGGTGCAGCCTTCGTTGTTAGGGTAGAGAGTACTGGGTGCATGGGGCTGCCCTAATGGTATAGTGTCTGGAGGGGCATACGTTAGTCAACTTTGCAAATCTCTGAGGCTGTTGTACAAGAATAAGCCTGCAGCCTCCTCCAGAGTACCTAGGGATAGAGCAGGTCCATATCCTATGCCTTTGCCCAAGGACATGGGCAAATGGTGGTAGGGGTGAGGCATCTGCTATGTGTCTCAGGTAGAAGGGAGTACTGCCAGGTAGGAGTGACCATATGAGATGAAAGCTTTGGTATGTCAAAGATAATGTTTTTGAAGGTCGAATATTAGGAGTGTATCAGGACTCTTCATCACAAACCAACTCAAACTTGCTTAAATAAAAAGAAAAAATAAAAAGTTTGTTTCATGTAATAGAAGTCCCAGGATCCATTGGGCTTCAGGCTTGGCTGCATCCAGATGCTAAAACATCACTAGATATTTGTCTTTAGCTAACTTTCGGCCCCATTTTCTTATTTGTTGTCTTCATTCTTAGACAAGATAATCTTAATAGTAATAATGGTATCTATTATCAACTCTAACTTCATTTTAATAGTTTGACAATGAGGTAAGAAGAGGGCCCTTCTTATAATTCCAACAAAAGCCCCAGGGTTAACTCTAATTCAGCCCGGTCTGGGTGACAGTCTGCTCCCTAAACTAACTGGAATGTTCTAATTGGTTCAGCTGGGCCACAGGATCTGGGATTGGGATGAACCCCACCTAAACGACCTGCATTGAGATTGGTGGTAAAAGTCATCTTACCTTCAAAGTGGGGTGAGGCATGTGGTAAAAGGGGGGGCAAGTAAAACTAACAGATAGCCACTCTATGATTTTCTTATCCTGGTGAGGGGCATAAGAGGGAAGCTACTGAGAAGTTGTAGAGGAAAATCTGGCGAGCCCAGTGTCTGGCCTGTAGCATTCCAGCAGGTGCTCAGCGTGAGGACAGTCATCACATGCCTTCACACACCCATCCTGGCTCCAGACACAGGCCTGACTTCCTCCTGAGTCTGTCTCAAGGGAGCAGAGAACTGCAGATGGGGTGGAAGGGCAGATGGCAGCCAGTTCTTCCAAGGCACACCACAGCAAATAGCCTGTGTGTCAGAGTTGTGTGAGGGCCCTGTAGCCTGATTGTGAGACAGGTGCAAAGATGTTAACGCCACGTAAAAAGTGTGCCATTCAATAATTATGCAAATTAGTTGGCAATTAGATGATGTCACTCACTTTCCCTCTCTTCCTAGGTTCCCACACAACAGATAAGCATTTTGAGCTTCAGCACTAGTCTGGACCTGCCACACAGGCTCTGGGGCAAACCACCTGGTCCCATAGCTGTCCTATGGCTCAAGAGAGGGTGGCAGTTGGCTGACTGGGTGGGGAGGGCTTCCTGGCTCCCATTTTCCCATTTCTTGAGCCTTGGGTAGTCCCGCTAGGGAGCTAGAGAGGTTGAAAGAGAAATGCTTGGGGCAGTGGGCTGGAGGCCTGTTATATTTAATATAAAGTCATCTTTAGCTTTTGGGCATTGTGGCAAAGTTTCAGAGGCCATGGTAGTGTCCACAATCCAAGAAATAAATGGAAGGGCTTGAGGAGAGAATATGGGCAGATCATAGAGTGTCAAGGCTAGTACACCCAAGTCTGATGTTACCAGTCCTGAAATCCGATTCTGCCCAGCACCTGTTAGGAAGCTTGGTTTTCCTCAGTCAGCCTTTTGGATCCCCCACAATGCAGGCAGGGGAACATTCGTATCTCCAGTGCCAGTCTGGGTGGGAGGGAAGGCCTGGAAACCTGCGGGGAGAGGTTCGACAGGCAGTATTGAGGGGCCACCCTAGAGCAGGTTCATAATTCTCATGATCCTCCTCCCAGGGGAGTGTTCCTGGCAGCTTAGTTCTTAATTCCTGGGTTTGCCCAAGTCACTAGGCATGTGCTGCTTTGCCCTTTGAGGTCACCTGGGTAGGCATCCCGAGCAGTGTGGTGGCTCAGGATTGTTGTCCTTGGTTAAAGTGGGGTGGTGTGGATGCCCTTCGTGGGACACAAGTCAGTGATCCGCAGGATGCTCGTCAGCTTCGGTTTTTACCGTTCATGCTTTTTACCATTTCCTGAGCTCCTGCTCCATGCCGAGTCCTGCGGCAGGCACCATGCCAAAGCAGACCCTGCCTCCAGGGGTGCTCCATTGGGCATCCAGGGCCAGATGCTGTGGCATCTGAAGCACACTTGCCCTACTACTTTTTGATGGCATCATCATTGCTGTGTCTCTGAAGCACACTTGCCCCGCTACTTTTTGATGTCCTCTAGGGCGAGAATGGTTTTTCTGCTTTGATACTGCAGTAACTGGAATGAATTGGAATTTGATAAACAGATTGAATTGAGCAAGTCATTCAATTTATACAAATAAGTGACTTTCAGAGGCCCAGAGGTGAGCTTATATATAGATCCGTCTGGAAGTTCCTGGGACTCTCCATTGGGAGGGTCTCCTATGTCCCTGCTCATCCATTGTGTTCTCTCCACCTGAATGTGCTTTCCTCCTGCTGAGGGTTCCCCTGGCTTTAGCCACCTGAGCCTAAGCTTTGCCCGTCAGCCAGGGACTCAGTCTAAATGGCAGGAGAGGCAATAGAGTGGGACACTCCCCCCAGGTGGAGCAGCTAGGGTGGTGTCACTGAGAAAACGCTTTCCCAAGCACCATGGGCTCCATTATGTACTACGTGATTTTTACATTCTTGGCTCATTGATAATTCCAGGCTTGGCATACCCTTGTGAAAGGCTTGTTCTTCCTGCTCACACCTGCCTTGCCCCCCTTTTCTTGCCCCCTACCTCTATCTAAATCAAATGCATGACTGGGGCTAGGGGACAGGAGAGAGCAGCTGTCCTCTAAGCACATTCCCTGAAAGTGGCCCCTTTACAACTCTTGATTTAAGGAATATGTAGACATGGCAGTTGTTGAGACCAGAAGGAGCCCTCTCTTCAGGACAAGGGTGTCCCCTCTTCCCTAGGATGTTGCCTTTTTCCTCGGTTGGCTTGCCTCACCTTGTGCAACAATCACAGTTTAGAGACTGGGTCACATCTCATGGCCTGGCCTCCTGACATCCACCTCTGGCCTCATGTCTCCCCTCACTCTACTTTACCAGCACTAACCTATTTGCTGTTCTTCAGACATAACAGCCTGCTCAAGCCTCCAGACCTTTGCACTGACTATTACTTCTGGAACATTCTTCCATATATTTACATGGCTAATTCTCTCACCCTCTTACAAGGCTCTTCTTAACTCTCACCTCTCGAACCCTGATCTGTGGGGTCTGCCTACTTCTGTCATTGCATAATTGATTGCATGCTACCAAAGTGATATTAACCGCTCAAATTTCTGAAAAAGAACAGTTGGCTCTCACAAGCCTGGATGAGTTGGCCTTTCCGTATGGCTGTATCCATGTTCCAGTTTAGTATCTTTTGCCCCACTGGAGGTACCCATGCCATAGTTTGGGGAACACTGCTTGGGCAAAACCTTTTATAGAACAAAGGCCTTCCTTATGCTGGATTTAATGAGCCTCTTGTTGATTGGGTTTGTTTATTCAATGGGAATAGGGGTTTATTCCTGGTTAGGGAATGTTTTCCCTTCAAAGCAGGGGTAATAACTAGCTTCACTAATGTGAACATCATAATAATAGTGGGCAGCAATGGTCTAACAGAGACCACAGTGAATTATCAAATATGCTAATTAATAAGTAGCAACCTGTGAAGCTCTGAGAAATTTTGCTTGTTGCTCTTATGTTAACAATAAGTCTCCACTTGCCTAGGTGGGCCAGAGTCTGCCTTCAGAAACCAGGTGACCCACTGGAGTGGGTGCTGGTGCATTTCTAGTTGGTATAAAATACCTGTGATATGCTCTAAGTCTGTACTTTATTCATTTGTTGTCCATTCTAGATTTTCACAATTTTTAAGGAAGTATTTGTGTTTTTATATGCTGTCCCCACTCCACAGACTCACACATCAACAACCCCTCTTCTCACCCCTCTTATCCAGAAATAAGAAAGGAAGGAGCCTAGTGTTTATTGATCACCTGCTATGTGTATAACCTCATGCTAGGATCTTTCCATACCTGATCTCGTTTAATCCTCTTTCTAATCATACAAAGAGTCTATTTTCTTTTGATTTACCAATGAGGAAATAGAAGCTCAAATAGGTTAAGAAATATTCTCAAAGTTCCACATAAAGAACTAGAATTCAAACTCAGCCTTTCTTTTTCAAGCCTCAAAGCCCATCTTTTTTTCTATAAAACCTTTTCACTAGTCATTAGCAGGAGATGAGAGTTGTTTTGCTCATTACTCACCTTCTAATTTATTTTCACTGATTTTTATAAGTATTTCTCTAGAAAATTGAAAAGTGGGAATCCATTTCAGGCCATCTACACTGGAGCACTGGACTGACAAACTTAGAAAGAAAAATCTAAAAGAGAAATCAATGTCATTTTCATGTCTTTTATTAGGTAAATAAATTAAAATTGTGTGTGCATTGAGTGTATAAAATGGTAGCCCTTGTCTTGCGTTTTGGCTATGTGACCCTGGGATATGAATATCATAAAAATGTGCTGATAGGGTTTTGGGAGTTTTTTACTACTTTTGCATTTGGAAAGACTGAGTGCATCATTAGGAGCTGAGCTCGGGGTCCTGCAATGGCTTTGAAAGAACCTGGGCCCTCTCTCCTGTTAAAAACACCAAGCTGTGGGACCCACTAGAATAGTCTGGCTCACAATCAGCCTTCCATAAATATTTATGAAATAAGATGCATTGTTTTCCTGATACGTGGCTCTAATCTTCCACTCCTTCTCTCCTTTCTCCCTGCCCACCTTGCCCCCACAGGTCTTTATCTGGAGTCCTCCCAGGCGGGTTATGGACAGGACTGCCTCTGGCCTGCACCATGAAGCCTGAGCCTGCATCCGCACTGCCCTGGGCCCTGCTCTGCCTGAGCATTCGGCTTCGGGCTGCCCCCCTCCCCGCAGTCCCCCGCTGCTAGGAGGTGGCCCTTTGGGACGGTTGTGGCCCCTTTCTGCCTTTCACCTGGCTTACCTCACCGCTCACTCCTCCTCCATCACGGCGGCTACCCCACCCCAGCCTGCTCCCCGGCCTCCCCGGCTGGGGCATTTGGGGGTCCGTAGGGAGGAGAGCATCGCTGAAGGCTTCCACCCGCCGAGTTCCTTCTCCTCCTTGAATCAAGGCCTCCGGATCCGCATGGATAGCTGAGATCTTTTCTTGGAGAAAGACAGTTTGCCCCTCACTCTAGTCCCTCACTTTTCCCACCTGCTTTCCTCCTCTTCTGCCCTGTATTTCCCTTTTCCTCTGTATTGAATTTCTTGCCTGTGTGCCCATCTGCGGCTGTCTTGCTCATTTCCTTCTTTCCCCACCCTCTCAGTATTTGTGGGTGTGTCTCCTCCCCCTTGGGTGCTCTCTGTCCCCAAACCCATCTCCTCCTCTCTCTGCCTTTGCCACCAAGGGGCATCTTCCCCTGAGGGCTGCTCCCTGCCCATCTGCTCCTGCAGGCTCCACCTGCGGCCACGATGGGCTTCACCACGCACTCAGTTTTCTTCACCCTAAAGGTGAGCGTCCTGCTGGGGTCCCTGCTGGGACTCTGCCTGGGCCTCGAGTTCATGGGCCTCCCCAACCAATGGGCCCGCTACCTCCGCTGGGATGCCAGCACGCGCAGTGACCTGAGCTTCCAGTTCAAGACCAACGTCTCCACGGGGCTGCTCCTCTACCTGGATGACGGTGGCGTCTGTGACTTCCTCTGCCTTTCCCTGGTGGATGGCCGCGTGCAGCTGCGCTTCAGCATGGACTGCGCCGAGACTGCTGTCCTGTCCGACAAACAGGTGAACGACAGCAGCTGGCACTTCCTCATGGTGAGCCGAGACCACCTGAGGACGGTGCTGGTGCTTGACGGCAAGGGCCGGTCTGGTGAGCTGCAGCCCCAGCGGCCCTACATGGATGTGGTGAGTGACTTGTTCCTTGGCGGAGTCCCCATGGACATACGACCTTCTGCCCTGACCCTTGATGGAGTACAGGCCATGCCCGGCTTCGAGGGATTAATCCTGGATCTCAAGTATGGCAACTCAGAGCCTCGGCTTCTGGGGAGCCAGGGCGTCCAGCTGGACACTGAGGGACCCTGTGGCGACCATCCCTGTGAAAATGGGGGGATCTGCTTTCTCCTGGATGGCCACCCCACCTGTGACTGTTCCACTACCGGCTATGGGGGCAAACTGTGCTCGGAAGGTAAGGTCTTCTTCCCCACCCCTCTCACGCTGGAGACCCGTCCCCTGGGTGGGGTGAGGGCTAGGATCTGAATAGAAACCAGTTGTGTGACTGAAGTGCGTCTTTAGCTGCATGTTCGATAATTGGGTCCCTTTCCCTGAGGAGGTGGTAGAAATCCTTTGCTTGCTCTCAATGGAAAATCCATCAGATCTCAGTAGGGTGAGAATCCTAGCTACTCAACCATGGGCTCCTTAGTCAAATGCTTGGCTGTACTCACAGGGCTGGAGGGAGTTGACTGCAGAATCTGTGCCTCAGCTTGGCTTCTGCTGTACACAGCGGAGCAGGATCAGCACAGAGCATGAAATCAGATGGGAAGGGGTGAAGTGGCTGTCTGTTCCTCCTGATCCCCTGAGACTTGGGCCCTTGGGGATGGAGGAAACTCGTCACCACTTCCTCCTTGTAATCCCCAGCACAGGAAGCCCATGCAGAGAAGAGTGAGGGTGGATGGACCACAGGTCCAGTCCTGGCCCCGCTGTCAGCCCAGCCCTTCAGCTGTGCCCCTCCTCCCACAGTTGTCGGGAGCACTTAGAGGAGGGTGGGCATTTGGGGAGGGAGCATCTCGCGTTTGGTCTAACAGTAGGGTTTTTCACATGCGGTTCTTCTTTCTGGTCCTTTCCTCTCCATGCACTGACAATGGTACAGGGAGACACAGGATAGACAGGAGACTTGTCCAGCCAAGCCCCTGAGGGAGCTGACAGTACTCAGTACAGCACTGGCGCACCTCCGACGTTCAGCTGCAGTGTCCCAGGGAGAATATAAAATGGTAGCCCTTGTCTTGCGTTTTGGCTATGTGACCCTGGGATATGAATATCATAAAAATGTGCTGATAGGGTTTTGGGAGTTTTTTACTACTTTTGCATTTGGAAAGACTGAGTGCATCATTAGGAGCTGAGCTCGGGGTCCTGCAATGGCTTTGAAAGAACCTGGGCCCTCTCTCCTGTTAAAAACACCAAGCTGTGGGACCCACTAGAATAGTCTGGCTCACAATCAGCCTTCCATAAATATTTATGAAATAAGATGCATTGTTTTCCTGATACGTGGCTCTAATCTTCCACTCCTTCTCTCCTTTCTCCCTGCCCACCTTGCCCCCACAGGTCTTTATCTGGAGTCCTCCCAGGCGGGTTATGGACAGGACTGCCTCTGGCCTGCACCATGAAGCCTGAGCCTGCATCCGCACTGCCCTGGGCCCTGCTCTGCCTGAGCATTCGGCTTCGGGCTGCCCCCCTCCCCGCAGTCCCCCGCTGCTAGGAGGTGGCCCTTTGGGACGGTTGTGGCCCCTTTCTGCCTTTCACCTGGCTTACCTCACCGCTCACTCCTCCTCCATCACGGCGGCTACCCCACCCCAGCCTGCTCCCCGGCCTCCCCGGCTGGGGCATTTGGGGGTCCGTAGGGAGGAGAGCATCGCTGAAGGCTTCCACCCGCCGAGTTCCTTCTCCTCCTTGAATCAAGGCCTCCGGATCCGCATGGATAGCTGAGATCTTTTCTTGGAGAAAGACAGTTTGCCCCTCACTCTAGTCCCTCACTTTTCCCACCTGCTTTCCTCCTCTTCTGCCCTGTATTTCCCTTTTCCTCTGTATTGAATTTCTTGCCTGTGTGCCCATCTGCGGCTGTCTTGCTCATTTCCTTCTTTCCCCACCCTCTCAGTATTTGTGGGTGTGTCTCCTCCCCCTTGGGTGCTCTCTGTCCCCAAACCCATCTCCTCCTCTCTCTGCCTTTGCCACCAAGGGGCATCTTCCCCTGAGGGCTGCTCCCTGCCCATCTGCTCCTGCAGGCTCCACCTGCGGCCACGATGGGCTTCACCACGCACTCAGTTTTCTTCACCCTAAAGGTGAGCGTCCTGCTGGGGTCCCTGCTGGGACTCTGCCTGGGCCTCGAGTTCATGGGCCTCCCCAACCAATGGGCCCGCTACCTCCGCTGGGATGCCAGCACGCGCAGTGACCTGAGCTTCCAGTTCAAGACCAACGTCTCCACGGGGCTGCTCCTCTACCTGGATGACGGTGGCGTCTGTGACTTCCTCTGCCTTTCCCTGGTGGATGGCCGCGTGCAGCTGCGCTTCAGCATGGACTGCGCCGAGACTGCTGTCCTGTCCGACAAACAGGTGAACGACAGCAGCTGGCACTTCCTCATGGTGAGCCGAGACCACCTGAGGACGGTGCTGGTGCTTGACGGCAAGGGCCGGTCTGGTGAGCTGCAGCCCCAGCGGCCCTACATGGATGTGGTGAGTGACTTGTTCCTTGGCGGAGTCCCCATGGACATACGACCTTCTGCCCTGACCCTTGATGGAGTACAGGCCATGCCCGGCTTCGAGGGATTAATCCTGGATCTCAAGTATGGCAACTCAGAGCCTCGGCTTCTGGGGAGCCAGGGCGTCCAGCTGGACACTGAGGGACCCTGTGGCGACCATCCCTGTGAAAATGGGGGGATCTGCTTTCTCCTGGATGGCCACCCCACCTGTGACTGTTCCACTACCGGCTATGGGGGCAAACTGTGCTCGGAAGGTAAGGTCTTCTTCCCCACCCCTCTCACGCTGGAGACCCGTCCCCTGGGTGGGGTGAGGGCTAGGATCTGAATAGAAACCAGTTGTGTGACTGAAGTGCGTCTTTAGCTGCATGTTCGATAATTGGGTCCCTTTCCCTGAGGAGGTGGTAGAAATCCTTTGCTTGCTCTCAATGGAAAATCCATCAGATCTCAGTAGGGTGAGAATCCTAGCTACTCAACCATGGGCTCCTTAGTCAAATGCTTGGCTGTACTCACAGGGCTGGAGGGAGTTGACTGCAGAATCTGTGCCTCAGCTTGGCTTCTGCTGTACACAGCGGAGCAGGATCAGCACAGAGCATGAAATCAGATGGGAAGGGGTGAAGTGGCTGTCTGTTCCTCCTGATCCCCTGAGACTTGGGCCCTTGGGGATGGAGGAAACTCGTCACCACTTCCTCCTTGTAATCCCCAGCACAGGAAGCCCATGCAGAGAAGAGTGAGGGTGGATGGACCACAGGTCCAGTCCTGGCCCCGCTGTCAGCCCAGCCCTTCAGCTGTGCCCCTCCTCCCACAGTTGTCGGGAGCACTTAGAGGAGGGTGGGCATTTGGGGAGGGAGCATCTCGCGTTTGGTCTAACAGTAGGGTTTTTCACATGCGGTTCTTTTTTCTGGTCCTTTCCTCTCCATGCACTGACAATGGTACAGGGAGACACAGGATAGACAGGAGACTTGTCCAGCCAAGCCCCTGAGGGAGCTGACAGTACTCAGTACAGCACTGGCGCACCTCCGACGTTCAGCTGCAGTGTCCCAGGGAGAAGAAGGAGGGACTCATGGCCAAGGACTTAGGCTGAGCTCAGCTTATTCTCCAAGTTCTGACTATTTGGGATTAGATCTGAGAGAAGTGGCCCAGACTTGACTGACAAATGCTTAAAACCCAGATTCCTGGCCTCCTGGCCTCACTAAGGCCTATATTTCAGTAGGAGGAACCACTGAGGTGACGGAGTGTGTGAGAGCTGGCCATACATACGGGTGTATGTGTTTCGAGACTGGCATGAGGAGAGGCAGGCAAGTTAACATTTCCTCCCATCCTTTTTGAGTGAAGCCCAGGATTCTCCTAGAGATATTTGTGTTGCCATCCTGTGCTGGGCTCTTCAGGTACGTGGTGGGATGGTATTGGTCTGAACAGTAGTTCTCAACCTTGGCTGCACATTAGGATCACCTGGGGAAGCCTAAAAGCTCTCAGGCCACACCCCGGACCAATTCAGCCGAAACCTTGGGGAATGGGATTCAAGCATCTGTGTATATTTAAAGTTTCCCAGATGTTTCTGTTGTGCAGCCAAGACTGACAATACACAGATGGGGGGAGGTCAGGCCGCAGGAGGTGGGGCCAGTGGGTGTCCTGGGAGCATTGACTCCTAGGATCTCTTCATTCAGGTGAGGCCTCACTGTCCTGGGATTTGCAATTAAAAACAGTGTCTGCAGGTGTTCCTCAAACTGTCCCAGAACAGCCCAACCTCTAAAGCAGGTTGTAATTGATACGAACTTTAGCTACTATTCACTGCTTAAAATAAAAAAATAAAAAAAATCAAAACAAAGTTTATTTCACAGGTGGTACATGCTGGAGACTGGGACACTTTTAGGGGCTTGTGGGAAGCTTCCTTGTACCTGGTGTTCGGGCGCCTGCAGGAGTGTTCCCCCATCTCTGCTGCAGCTTTCCCCTACTGGGTTAGGTGTCAATTCTCCCTGCCTGTGTGGTGGCTGCGGGAGCGGGAGATTGAAGACGTGCGTGCCACCCTTTCTGGCTTCTGTTTTCCCCCATTGAGCCTATTGGAAAAAAAAGGATGGGGAAGTGGGGCGAGGCAACCCCAACCCCCAAAGCCACTTTGGGAATGTGGTTACTGAAGCGCTTCTCCCAAGCAGGTGCCTTCTGGAGCTGACTGCTACTCCAAAGCTTTTTGACTTTGCAGAAAGTTCTGCCTGAAGACGCTGACATGATCACTTGTGTTTTTCTCATTCGCCCAGAAAATCTGTTTTGTTTTCAGAATGTGCCTTGAAAGCTGGCATTCGTCCTTTCTAGGGACCAGGGTGTTTGCAAATGTGTTGTTAACTTGCTGATTATCCCTGATTGCATTTTTTATGTTTGAAAAGAATGTATTTCCTCTGGGCAGGTCTACATCAGCACTTTCTGCAGGAAGAATCTCTATACTGGATATGTATACAATTTGTCTTTTCTCCTTTTTTTTTTCCCTTGGTTTTGGTGTGTGTATGCGTGTGTGTATTTCAGGTCTCCAGCAGAATTTCTTTGGAGCAAATTGTAGGCAATTTTTTAATAGTGAAGTACAGTACATTTTAATAATAGTTCTTTTTACAGGTTCATATCATCTTGTGGCTATGGATTGATACGTCTATCTGTAGAAGGCAATCACACAGCATAGCTCACTTATTCTCCTGATACACAGATAGTGTAAATAAACTCTCTAGTAATAGTAACACTTGGATTGTCTCGGAACAGAGCAGTGCAAAGGTTGAAGTGAGGGCAGATGTTGGAGGACATACCAGAATTTACTGTTGATAACTCGGAGCCTGTTAATCCTGGTAATTGTCATTACATCTAATCAATCACAAAAATGCATCTCAGGCTTTTAGAAAGTATCCATTCTCTCCACACATAGTTAATTTTTAGAGTTAGTGGGAAAAACTCACCTGTAAAATATTATGGGGGAAAAAATCACAATAGCTGCTAAGCGTCAAGCAGATCTGCGTAAAACAAGATAAATAGCCTAACAAATGCCTACCCATTTTCCTAGACATAACCTGGTGAATCATGTGGTGAGGATGCTTCCATTCCCCTTTTAAGCTGCACATGTCACAGAACTGAAACCAGGGGACTTATCTCAGCAGATGGTCCTCTGTACCAGGCATCTGATTGTCCCAATTTGCTGGAATGGCCCTGCCATTGGATTGTGTGGGGGCTTGCACCCAGTGTGGAAAATCTGTTCTGTACTTCCTGCTTTAGCAGTTCAGGAGCAGGAAGAGCCCAGAGGGCTCCTGCAGCCTCAGAGGTGTGTGACTGGGGCCTGCTGGAGGCACTCCCTGTGGTCCATTAGCTTCAGCCTCACTGGCAGCATTGATGTTTGCTTGGCCTGTCTGGCTTTCCATGCCTCGATTGCTCCAAAATGTCTATATGAGGCACCCAGGAAGAATGCCCAGATGGGCCTCTTTGATGTGCTTTGAGCTATTTTGATCTCCGGTTGGGTAAGACCTAGAGGACACTGGGGACAGTTGCTATGGGCAAGTTGGGCCTAGGGGTAAGAGGTACGGGACTCCCTATTTACTCTTTAATGTGGTGAAGAGCTCTATTCACTCTGGCTGCAGCCTGAACGCCACACAGTCTACTTGCATCCCGAGACTCCCAACACAGCTATCGGTCACATTGAACATTCTGGCACACGATGGAGGGAGAAGAGGTCCCAGGGTTTTACTTCTAGGTGTTACATTTATAAGAAATGTTTTGGTGTTCAACTTCAGAATTGTTCATGTTGACATTTAACCTTGCCGTTTCAGTAACGGTCTTGGAGGACAGAAGTGCAGGTCATTCAAAATGATTTTAAAATTACATGTATCTGGTTTGGAATATAGTCAAGCTACAGTACAGCATATTCACCTGGTTCTTGTTTAGCCCAGCCTGTCATGTCATGGGCGGCCTTGAAGCCCCCTGGGCAGTGAAGAGGCGTCCTGGCCTCCCTCTGGGGAACTGTCCCCTCATGGGTCATTCAGCTTGTCATTACCTTGAAATGAGTTTAAACTTAATGGTTTAAAAACATCCTTAGTTATGAATGCACATGTTCTGAATTTCTTAATCTTACGGTCATGAAGAATCGATTCACTCCCAGGGTATAATTTCAGTACCAGTCTTCCTGAAAGTTCATTTAGCAAGAAGTCAGCCTGTTGCAGGTGGGGTGGTGCCTTCCTGAAAGATGAAGAGGGCTTCACAGATTGAT